ACGCTGCTGTCTGCCATAACCCTACTCAAGTTGCTGCTGTCTACCATAACCCTACTCAAGATGCTGCTGCCTGCCATAACCCTACTCAAGACGCTGCTGCCTGCCATAACCCTACTCAAGACGCTGCTGTCTGCCATAACCCTACTCGGGGCAAAACCCATAAAAAAGTAGAACCAGCCAACAATAGAAAACAAGCAACCACTTTCTGCCAGTGACATCCCATTTTTACATTACCGATACTAGTACATGCTAGGAGATAGGATTGATTTATCTTTCTACATGGAAATACCATAAAATTGACTTGAGAAATTGCCTTTTTGAAAACTGCCTTTAACAATATAACAAATAAGGCTAAACAGACATTGGGAGTGATCAAACATAAACAGAGAACATGACCAACAATGTTAGCCGTAACAAGTAGTTTGTTATAATCAGTAGCGAGCTGCTGCCACGCCGCGTGCCTGCGCTGCAAAGCTGCTGCCATGCAGAGGGGTGGTTATAAATGCAAGAGCTTCTTTGGCTATTGGCATGAGGAGAAAAAGCACATGTTAATACAGCATGCAGTTTCTCAATGGCTAACCTATACATAATGTTAACTATAATGTTAGTACTACAACTACAGCTATGTCTAGGATTTGGTCCAAGCCAAGCAGCTACCAGGTTTTAAGGCCTGGCAGTGAGGGAGGTAGTGAATGTCCAGCCCCTAAGCCATAATGGACACTCCCTTGCCACTGACTTGAACCCTAACCCCCCAAGGATACAGCAAGGTTGGTGATGGTGAATGCAGGTTAGTATAACAAATAACAAAGCTGCTCACCTGGGTATCTAGGTACATAAACAACAGGAGTCCTCTTGCTGATCATAAGGCCAGGCTAAAGAACTTCTCTTTTCAACAGAACTTATAATGTCTGACTCAGTGAAGTCCTTTGGCCTGACATGAGCTAAAAGTTTGGTGTGCCTTGTGACTATGCAAATGTTGGAAACTAAAAGTACCATCCGTCGATGAAGGTTAGACATCCAGGTAATACGATATGCCAAAAAACAGTAGTACCATCAACTACCATGACAACCAGATTACTTTTCTGAAAATTACCCATTGATATATAAAAAAAGATCTAAAAGCTCTAGTATATTTTCTTCTAAAAACAAGAATTACTTAAACTTTCAATTTAGTACTTGAAAGTTAAAGTAATTACATTTTGACAACTATGTCGCCACTCTACTCCAGTTAACTTGACTTGTAGGAAGCCTAAAGGTGGACTCCACTTTTCCTTACGTAAAGTTGAAGTCCCGCAAACTTTATTCAGGAGTTTTTCAGTATCTATATCATAATCTTTATTCAAAATAAACACTATCTAATGCGTGTATCCGCTGTGGTGCCTTCTGGTGTCGTCTTCTGGACTTTACCTAGCTACTTTAACTTTCCCTAAGAGTCAAATAAAAGAAACTTCTCGTACGTACATTGCAAGACTGGTGCATAGTTGCATCATTGCATGTCCATTTTATCACTTACAAAATGGACTAGGAAAGTCGACTACAATTTACATCTAATACAGCTTTTGATGCCTGACTTCCAAAACACCAATAACTATTCATCTGCAGATCTATTATACTGCTATCTCTCTGACTGCAGCAATCTTGGATCAAGTGTGTGTGTCTTACAGATCTACATATTGCAATGCTATGCTAGAACGCCTGTACTTTTAGTCAATGTTATCAAAGATCAACACAAGGCACTTAGTATGTCCAAAATGTTCCCTACGTTTAACTTAGTAACTGTAAATTCCCCATTGAAGTACACACTTTTTTTAACACTCAAAAAGTGTCTGGTAATTACTTGAAGCAATTGAACGAGTAACAAGTTTGTATTGTTACAAAAGATTGGTTGCCAAATAGTGAAACATTCTAAGCTGCATGATTATACAGCAAAGACATCTATAGAAGTCATTGAGAAACAGCATGAATTTGAATTTATTCTGTTCATATTTTGTTCAAGATTGGAGAGGGAATAAGTTTTCTCAGCTTTAGGTCAGAATTGTCTCTCAACAGCCCAAATATGCCTGGTCTGGTGTGTACTTCAAATGGGAATTTACAATCATGATTGCAAGAAAACACACTAACCTGTTTGACAAGCTGTCTTCTTTTCTTGAGCTTGCTTGCTTCAAAGTAAACTGGAAACGGTGACATCGGCCCAAAGGATGATCTGTAAAAAAAGGGGGAAAAACATTAAGATATTTTAAATGTGAATTTATGGCATTGCTGTTTGACAAGCCTTCTTTTCTTCATGCTTGTGTCCCTCAAAGCAACCTGGAAACAGCGGCATCAGGCAAAGGGCGCGTAAAAATGGGGAGAGAAAATTTAGTATACATCAGGACAGTTTGCAGTTAGTATTTTCCATCTATTCCAGAATCTGAGTCATACCAGGTTTGCTTCAGTCAATTCGTTCTGCAGTACCAAGCTGGTGAACCGGGTGGCGCTGTTCACTACACGTATTTATCATGTATTTAGTTAGGTATAAGCAAGTTTTTAAGAAAAATCAACATAAATAAGAACATGTTAAAGTCAAACAAAACCGCTGAATTTGCAACGTTAGAAAAATTTCCTCGGGAAGGGACCGTGAGTCCGGCTCCATTCAGGCGGGGACCTCGCCAAATCTCACCGAAAACATAAGGTTGAACGCTACGGTACGGAGTCTGTCAGCACCATGCTAATTTTTCTGTTAGATTCCGAAAAATCAGCCCAGAAAAAAACACATTGGCGCTAATAAATTCAGCTACGCTTTTCTCGACAATCGTGAGGAAAATCTGTGAGAACACAACACTTCTGAGACAACTTTTGGTGCATACTTGCCACGCATACGTACTTAAGTCTGAGGTAAGGGCGATGATTGACAGCTCAGTCAGACGGTCAGTCGTCATCGTCCCAAAATTTAAACAAAATCAAATTCCTTGAGGATTTATAAAATAATTTCAGAAAATAGGTCAAGCTCAACTCTATTAAGATTGTAACTACCGTAACTGGTCACCAACCCTCGGCCCGTACCGGGTCTGGCTACACACGTACACGGGACCCCGCACCTGTTTCACCGGGCCCCACACGTGAGACAGACCGCTACTCAACATTTCAACATTTTCCCGATAAAAACTACAAAAATAAACATGAAAGTGGTACTACTAGATGTAACAACATTTTATCTCCTAATTGTGGGGTAAAATTGCTGAGAACATAACAATTAAATGCAACTTCTGACACAACATGTACCCTTGCCACGTGCTGACACGAGCGATGATTGACAGCTCAGTCAGACGGTCAGCCGCCGTCATTTTTCAACATTTTCTAGATAAATTCTGAGGAAAAATATCTAAAAGCACCACTAGTAGATGTCACAACATTTTGTCTGGTGATTCTGAGGTAAACATGAGGGGAGAAATTAATTTGTCTTGAATTTTGACCAACGATATACATGTGGCTTCTTCTAAGCAGGTAGTGCCAAAACACGGGACACCCCGCCTGATTTCCCGCCTTTTTTCTCAACATTTCCTCTATAAAACCTGCTAAAACCGACCTAAAAGTGATGCTACTAGATGTCACAACATCTTATCTAATGATTCTGAGGTAAATATCGGGTGGAAAATCAAATTGTCTCGAAATTTTGACGGACGCAAGTGCGCCGCACTATGCTTTGCCAACACACGGGGCAATGCGCCTGTTTCCCCGGGAAACCTCCTACGTGAAAGCGCTACTCAACATTTTAAAATTTTCCCGATAAAATCTGCTAAAACTAAGCTGCAAGTGATACTACTAGATGTCACAACATTTTATCTTAAGATTCTGATGTAAACATTCGGTGGAAAATTAATTCTTCTTCGAATTTTGACCATCTAAGTACCATTTCATGAAAATTAAATTCCTGACAGAAAAATTTAGACATTCCTGTCACTGAGTAAGCAATTCTAAAACTGAAGTTGACGCCAAAGTTCCTGTCAGAAATGTCTTAAAAATAAGCGAAAATATGCCAGGACACACAACAGATTGCTGTATGTACTCTTTACCAGGTAATACACGAGTAAAACATTAAATTCTACGGTAGAGAATTATAAATCCTTACCTCAAATTGCACGGCTAGCGCTAGCGGCTGTCACGTCTGGAATGTCACCAGCGCGAAAGTTTCCCTACACCGCTATAGAACATGGATCGTGATTGGTCGGTCAAACGTGGATCGTGATTAGTGCGTCGGAATTTGGACTATTACATTTTGCTATTGAGGTGAAGTCTACTAGGCAATGTTTTTACGTTCTTGCCATTTGACGGTATTTTCAGAATATTTGACTTGAAATGTATACACAAATTATATATTATTACATACTTCGGAGATAGTCTTTTCATACCTTTGTCGGTCAAGAATGGAAAAAGGAAAGGAGAAACTGTACACCCCCACCTGGCAGTCTGTTAATGTTTTACCGTTATGGCCTGTTCTATTTTTCGTTGGTGTGGGGTGAAAAGATGTTCTAAAACTATTTAGAACAGAGCATTTTATGGACACTTTAAAAACAATTGTCGTCTGTTTAGGATCATTTGTTCGAACCTCTGATGACCACGTTACAGTTCATTTCGTATCGGTAGAGTGAATCCATCCATCCATCCACCCTGTCCACCCACAGTTTAGAATAGTATAGTCGGTCTTTCTGTCCGGTTACTTGTGTACTGTAGCTCCAACATGTGCCGCCAGAGGGCGCGCTTAGGCCGTGCCATCAGTACTTCCTTTTACACGGCGTTACTTGCACAATATTCACACATTTTCTCATGAACTTTTTGCCGATCGCACGCAAAGATTACTGAGGTCAGAACTTAACAAAAGGGAAATCTTTTCCGAGACCACCAATAACTTTGAAACTTAAGTTCCAGAACTTTGTGTCTCAGTTTTTCGGTTAGGCTGGGAACCAGACTCTGCAGACGCAGGGAACAAGACTCTACATATCGAGTGAGAAACCAACAGGTCGTTCTTAATGTGGCCATTTTTATTATGCAAGTTGTACAAAAGTGATGTTCATTTGGACTATGTTTTTCTAACATCCTTAGAATATAACAATTCTACAGGAGTGCATGGAGCCACACAGCTGTGCGTAAACCCTACCAGAGCCCAACACCAATCCAACCACGTTTCTCAATTCCCCTTCCACATCCTCACGTCATTATATTATCCCACCAAACCATGTACAACGAACACTGTATGTCCTTCTTTGAGAACAAACTGGGTAAGGTAAGGTATTCAGGTACGGTATACAGGAAAATATACACAAAGAATACTGGTCAGGTATACAGGTACAATATAAAAGTGAAGTATGTAGATTAAGTATATTGATTAGGGTACACAGGTAAGGTATACAGGTAAGTTAAGGTATACAGGTAAGGTATACATGTATGTGCGATTGGACGTACAGGCAAAGACAGGGTATACAGGAAGATATACTGGTAAGGTGTACAGGTAAGGTAAGGTATACAGGTAAGGTATACAGGTAAGGTACACAGGTAAGGTAAGGTACACAGGTAAGGTACACAGGTAAGGTAAGGTATACAGGTAAGGTCCACAGGTAACTTCAGGTACACAGGTAAGGTCCCCAGGTACTGTAGGGATGACAGCCCAGTGGTGTGGCTCCAGCCAGCCTGACTATCTAGTTTGTCGATACTTACATAATTCTGCATGTAGTTCTGATAGCTGTCCAGATCATTTCACAAGAAGAGCCATAAAAAGTACTTTCAACATTACACAGGAGACACAAGAGGACTTGCACAAAGATCATTTCCTACATACCGATTTTCAGACAAATAAAGGCCCCGCAATTTGCTATCATTTGCTGCATCTTCCATATAAATGCCAATATTTACATATTTATGCAGGTATAGTATAATGTATGTAACATCACAAATAAAACTGTGCACAGATCTCTCATCTAAACATTTATGTTTCACAATGTTCCATTGCTGACTTCTTCTCTTGGATCTTCTCTGATATTGGGAACAAAATGGAGTCAAAATCATCGGTGTGGAAGATAAATATATCAGCAGTGCAGAGGTTTTCAGACAACAGGCGGCTTTCAAGACTGACACGATGGCCGAGGGGGGGGGGGCGACGAGTTAACTTCCCAAGCCTTCAGCCAGCTGCTGGGAACATTAAAAAGGTTACTTTTGGATCTCCCAGAAGTCTTGCACAGAAAACATGACTTGTGCGGCAAGAGTGGGTATTTCCAACCCTGATGCAGATTTCCCTGCAGAACCTGAAAAATAAAACCTTCTCCGCGTCAACCTGAGCAGATTTTGACGTCTTTGTGTCTGGAAAGCAAGTCTGGATATTTCACGGTTTGGGTGCAGAAGCCAAAAGCACAATTTTGGCATCCTGCTGTACACATGCCAAAATACAACTGGTTAGACAGTTTCTGTGTGGTAACACTGATGTGAGTAGTTTGGAATGAACAGGAAAAGCATGTTCCAAAGTGGAGCCTGACTTTTGCTGTCTGAAAACCTCTGCAGCTGCCACTGCTAGAACCAAGTTCACGTCCAAGGTACAAACTGTGAGTCAGCGGAAACATCTAGCCTGAAACTACGGTCGGATCTGTACAAGAGGAGAGGATTAAATACTGACAGCTTTTCCCGGCTCTAAGCTGTCGCAGATCGGGTTACACCAGATCAGGTTACACCACCGGGATTTGGCATAAGGTTTGGAAGAGGACCTCTGCTGCTGAAGCCAATGGCACAGAAGGGCTGCTTTCCTGCAACGTTCGAATTTCCAGCTATAGAGTCATCAAATGTGCGAACGGAGTCAACTAGTAATTTGCATGGTCAAGAACAAAACATCGTAGAGGACATTCTTTCTGCAGATTTTGATCTGATGAGCCAAAACGTGGTTCAGACTTCTTTTGTGGCACCCACAAATCAGTTTCTTATTTTACACAACACTATTATACACAGTCTGCCCCCCCCCCTCCAACACACATGTATGGGACACCTTCTGCCTTACTGTATCAGAGGCTATGGCTTGCTCAGCACAGCCAATCAGAGCCACGTATCAGCCCGACACAGCCAATCACAGGCCACGTATCAGCCAGACACAGCCAATCACAGGCCACGTATCAGCCAGACACAGCCAATCACAGGCCACGTATCAGCCAGACACAGCCAATCACGGGCCACGTATCAGCCTGACAGCCAATCACAGACCATGTCTCTAACAGACACAGCCAAGAGGGACATTGCACTTGACCTTACACTAGAACACTTACCCTACAGACGACCTTGGGAATGAAGTATAATACATCCTATACACAACTGAGGGTACAAATCTGAAGCAATATCTTACAAAAATGGCTAAATCAGTTCCAGTTAGTCCTGAAGCCCTCCTAGTTTTCCAGGCCTTTTGCTGTTTAGATTCTGTGGCACCCAATTAAATAACATTTCATAAATACTCTCTCTATAGACAAACATTCCCAGCATTCCCTGAAAAGACTGTCAAACTCCATGGGTCGTTCCAATGAGATATGGGGGGAAACTTTACTGCCTTTTTCTTGATTTCATGAACCTTTCAAAACCATTCTTACCACACAACTCACAACAACTGGCCCCCCTCCCAGCAGCAACTTGTATCAGTCCCTACAGGCATTCAGACCTGGGGGAGGGGGGGCGACCTTCAGCCTGACCTTGTCTGTACCAAACATACAGAGCTACACCAGCAGGGGGGAGGGGGGCGACCTTCAGCCTGACCTTGTCTGTACCAAACAGACAGAACTGCTACACCAGCAGGGGGAGGGGGGCGACCTTGAAACCCATAAACATGTAATTTTTAAATAACATTGACCCCTAGAATCAGCACATTTCAATTCACTGAATGCCAAAGAAAAACAGTTCTGAAGAACATGTTTCAGACTTGGTTGATTTTCGCTGTGCCAAGCCAGACAGAATAAGGGTGACCTCTTCCTTCCTCTTACAACATTTACAAACTCTCAAGGGCCACAGGATGGAAGTATTATCAATAATTTACTCTCATAAAACCAACATATTCGCTTTGATTAAAAACCTCTGTATGGCAATGAAATGCTCAAATAAATATACAGGTAGTCCAAAGAATCATGTACTGGGAATTCACTTCTTTGGGGCCAACTGAGCACAGAACAAATACTAATTTGCTGTTAGAAGTGCATGGCCCCTGATCTAGAAAAACTATCGCAACAGACAATTTGGTCTCATCTTGGATACTGGCTGCTCTATTCTTGTGTGTTCTGAGTTCTGTTCCACAGGCAGAAGCTATGGTAGCTGCTATGGAACAGAACTAGACTTGCCCATGTGGACATCACATGACAGTCACATGGGCAGCACATGACCAGTCACATGGGTAGCAAAGGCCAGTCACATTGGATCATTACGACAGTCACATGGGCATCACATGGCAGCCACATGGGCATCACATGACAGCCACATGGGCATCACATGGCAGCCACATGACAGCCACATGGGCATCACATGACAGCCACATGACAGCCACATGACAGCCACATGGGCATCACATGACAGCCACATGACAGCCACATGGGCATCACATGACAGCCACATGACAGCCACATGGGCATCACATGACAGCCACATGACAGCCACATGCGCATCACATGACAGCCACATGACAGCCACATGGGCATCGCATGACAGCCACATGACAGTCACATGACAGCCACATGACAGCCACATGGGCATCACATGACAGTCACATGACAGCCACATGACAGCCACATGGGCATCACATGACAGCCACATGACAGCCACATGGGCATCACATGGCAGCCACATGGGCATCACATGACAGCCACATGGGCATTACATGACAGCCACATGACAGCCACATGGGCATCACATGACAGCCACATGACAGCCACATGACAGCCACATGGGCATCACATGACAGCCACATGACAGTCACATGGGCAGCACATGACAGCCATACATATGGGCATCACATGACAGCCACATGACAGCCACATGACAGCCCCAGCACACATACACAGGTCAGTAGTTGAAGACGAAGGAGTGCTCTAAGAGTTCCTGGGCCGACGCCCTTTGTCTGTGGTCTTTCTGGAAAATGATCCTGAGAAAGTCGTGTGCGCAGTCCGACACGCCCGCCGGAAGCTTCGGAATCGTCGGCTGCGTCGCAATTTTGAAGATGGCTGCCATCGGCTCGTAGTCGAACCAAGGGGGCTTCTCCGTCAACATTTCAACAACTGTACAACCTATACTCCTGAAAAATTAAAAAAAAAAAACAATTACTAACAACTGTACAACTTATACTCCTGAAAAATTGAATTAAAAAAAACAATTACTAACAACTGTACAACCTATACTCCTGTAAAATAAAAAACAATTGCTAACTAACAACTGTACAACCTATACTCCTGTAAAACTAGACAAGTTTAAGGTCAACATCTCCACAACTGAACAGCCAAAACTCCTGATAAACTAGAAAATCAGCCTGTCAGCAACAATTATGTTCAGTTAATCCATTCCTGACTAGGTCCAGTGACATTATAACCTAATGACATATCCAGTGTTGTTTGACCTTGCTTACCATATATCAGCTTTTCTGCCGTAACCTTCCCCATTGATGACCTCTGGACTCATCCAATATGGCGTCCCGGTGACCGTGCGCATTCCGGTGGCGCTGCAGATCGTCTGGATCCGCTTCGACGCCCCGAAATCTCCCAGCTTCACGTTTCCTGAGGAGTCCCTCAATATATTTGCACCTGCGGACACGGAAGGGGCGTGTTACATGGGCCATGGGTGGGGCTACGGGTGGGGCCATGGGTGGGGCCACGGGTAGGGCCATGGGTGGGTCAACATGGGCCATGGGTGGGTCCATGGGTGGGTCAACATGGGCCATGGGTGGGTCCATGGGTGGGTCCATGGGTGGGTCCATGGGTGGGTCCATGGGTGGGTCCATGGGTGGGTCCATGGGTGGGTCCATGGGTGGGTCCATGGGTGGGGCCATTCGTGGGTCCATGGGTGGGTCCATGGGTGGGGCCACGGGTGAATACATTTTGCTATGTGCAGATATACTAATATAACGTACCTTTAATGTCCCTGTGGACGATCATGTTGCTATGCAGATAGAGAATTCCCTCCAGAATCTGCCGCGTGTATTTCCGTGTGACGTTCTCAGTTAGCGCTCCGTACTGGCGGATCTGGTCTTTCACAGAACCCTACAACAAACAAACAAACAATAAACATGAGACCACAACTCCGGACCTAGAACCTGCTTGTGTGTTTGAGTGTGTAGTGTGTAGTGTGTATGTTTGTGTGTATGTTTGTGTGTGTTTCCGTGTTACTCACCGCCGGCATGTACTCCATGTGTGTGTATGTGTGTGTTTGTGTGTATGTTTGTGTGTGTCTGTGTGTGTTTGTGTGTATGTGTGTGTGTGTTTCCGTGTTACTCACCCCCAGCATGTACTCCATGTGTGTGTGTGTGTGTGTGTGTGTGTGTGTGTGTGTGTATGTTTGTGTGTATGTTTGTGTGTATGTTTGTGTGTGTTTCCGTGTTACTCACCCCCGGCATGTACTCCATGTGTGTGTGTGTTTGTGTGTATGTTGTGTGTATGTGTGTATGTGTGTATTTTTATGTCTGTGTTTGTGTGTATGTGTGTGTGTTTGTGTGTATGTTTGTGTGTGTTTCCGTGTTACTCACCCCCGGCATGTACTCCATGTGTGTGTGTTTGTGTGTGTTTGTGTGTATGTTTGTGTGTATGTTTGTGTGTGTTTCTGTGTTACTCACCCCCGGCATGTACTCCATGAAGATGCAGAGTCTGTTTTCGTCCTGGATGCAGCCGTAATACTGAACTATCCTCTCGTGCTGAAGGTTCTTCAACAGCTGAATCTCGCACTCCAGAGCCTTCACTTCCTGCTGTAAACACAAACAACAACTTTCACTTTCTGCTGTAAATACAAACAACTTTCACTTCCTGCTGTAAACACAAACAACAAACAACTTTCACTTCCTGCTGTAAACAAAACAACTTTCACTTCCTGCTGCACAACACAAACAACTTTCACTTCCTGTTGTAAACACAAACAACTTTCACTTCCTGCTGTAAACACAAACAACTTTCACTTCCTGCTGTAAACACAAACAACTTTCACTTCCTGCTGTAAACACAAACAACTTTCACTTCCTGCTGCAGAACCTAACCGCGACTGACCTTTGAGGCTTCCACATTTTTGGGGTCGAGGTGGACCTGTTTCAGCGCGAGTTCTCGGCCCGTGTCGGCGTCGTAGCACAGATAGACCTGCCCGAAGGCGCCCTGGCCGAGCAGCTTGCCTTGTCTCCAGTTGGTGGGGCGCTCTGGGGGCTGTGCAAAAACAGGAACAAGTTAGACTCATAGCTACAGCTGTACTCATAGCTACAGGAACTACAGCTGTACTCATAGCTACAGAAAACTACAGCTGTGTTCATAGCTACAGGAACTACATCTGTGTCCCACGGCCGAGCAGCTTGCCTTGTCTCCAGTTGGCCTGCAGAAAGAGTTGTGGACCTGCTTGACTCGCTGCTTTTCTCACTACAGAAACTACAGCTGGGACCTGGCAGCTGTCATGAGGGAAGGGTTAGTACAGCAGCCGTCACCATGGCTATGACCTTTCCAACCGCAGTCACCATGGTTATGACCTTTCCCCTCAGTCACCATGGTTATCGACCTTCCCCCAGTCACCATGGTTATGACCTTTCCCCTCAGTCACCGTGGTTATGACCTTCCCCCCCCCAGTCACCATGGTTACGACCTTTGCCCCATCACCGGGAGTTAGTCCCACCAGAGATTTACAGAAACGTCCTACATGTGGCGGAGCCTCGGTTTGCCACCAGCAGCATCCACGGTTTTCTCTGGTAGGAACTGACAAGAACTGCAGTCGAGTCCTTCCTCGACGCTGCAGGACATACAAAAACTCAGAACAAAACACAACATTTCGGGTTGTGTGTACATTGTGAGCGGGTTGTGTGTACATTGTGAGCGAATTGTGTGTGTCCCTAGCGCAGGACTTACATCACTTGCATTTCGCTGGGTTGTGTGTGTTATGAGCAGGTGGTAAGTTGGTTGTGAGCAGATTGTGTGTGCATTGTAAGGGGGTTGTGTGCAGATTGTAAGCAGGTTTTGAGCAGGTTGTGTGTGGGTTGTGAGCAGGTTGTGAGCAGGTTGTGTGTGCGCTGTGAGTAGGCTGTGAGCAAGTTGTGTGTGTTGTGAGCAGGTTGTGAGCAGGTTGTGTGCAGGTTGAGAGCAGGTTGTGTGTGCCTTGTGGACGGGTTGTGTGTGTGTGTTGTGAGCAGGTTGTGTGTGCGCTGTGAGTAGGCTGTGAGCAGGTTGTGTGTGTTGTGAGCAGGTTGTGAGTGGGTTGTATGCAGGGTGTGTGCATTGTAAGCAGGTTGTGAGCAGGTTGTGTGTGAGTTGTGAGCAGGTTGTAACGTGGGTTGTGTGTGCCTTGTAAGCAGGTTGTGAGCAGGTTGTGTGTGTGTTGTGAGCAGGTTGTGTGTGGGTTGTGAGCAGGTTGTGAGCAGGTTGTGTGTGCGTTGTAAGCAGGTTGTAAGCTGGTTGTACTTACATGACTTACATCTGGCCGGGTTGAGGTCCTGCAGACTCAGGACGGCCAGGTCGTAGTCGCTGTCTCGTCTCTCCGAGTCCGTCACCAGACCGCTGCTGCTGCTGCTGTTGCTAAGCGACCGCTCGGAACCCGACCTTGGACTGAACGTCCCCACGGGTCTTCTCAAGGTCGGGCTGGGCTGCGGTCTTCTCGTTCTCGGGAACGTTTTCCGCCCTGGAGCAAAAATACACTGTTACATACGTTCTGGGGCAGAAAACACAGTTATTCATGTTCTGGTTAATGGTGTATGATGCAACACTGCAACAGTTCTAAAACTGTAGCCCAAATTTACATATCAAATTTGGCAGCATTGGAACAGGAGATCTCAGGACGTGTCAGATTTTCTCAATGTGTAGACAGGAATTTTATGGTCTTGTCATGCAGGGATTGTTTGTTTGTTTGTGGAATGTTTAGGATACTGACCGTCGCTGTAGTCGTGATGTGGGTTGGTCATGATGGTGGATCTTCTGGGGTACGTTCCGCCTTTCCCTGCTCTCTCCACGTGCGCCAGCTCGTGTTCTGGACAGAGAAACACACAATAAAGTTATTTATCCAACAATCCAGTTACTTATCCAACAACCATACAGCAATCTAACAAATCCTCCATCTGTTTGTCTGTCAGCGAATCCATAGGACAGGAAAATTTCCCACAATCCAGTCCTGTTTTAGGCATGAAACACTAACTACACATGACATCTGCTTCAAAATGTCTACAAACTCTGATGACACAAGCTTCTTGGACTAGCTGGTTCCTTTTCCACTCAAAACAACAGTTTCCACAACTCGCACAACACTGATACAACACAGTCACAACAGTTTCCACATGACTGGCACAACACTGGTACAACACTGGTACAACACTGTTACAACCATGTCACAACACTGATACAACACAGTCACAACAGTTTCCACATGACTGGCACAACACACCGTAACGAGAAGGGAGCGTGTTTACCTGAGACCCACGAACGCGGGCCTACAAACCCGGCTGCCAGCGGAGAGAAACACAAGGTCAGACAAACTCTCAAGGTCAGAGCACAACTCGCAAATCAGCAGCCACAAATCATCAAACACAGCCACAAATAAGCCATTGTCAAGGCTAAAACATGCTTAAAATTCATATCAACTATATTACAATAAAGTAACAACGGTTTTCCAACTGCCAAACTTTTCAAATGCACGGAACATATCAACATCCAAGTCTGACTTAAAGGTGTGGGACTTACACAGGAGTGTAGCAGAACAGGCCAGAGGCAGGAGAAAACAGCACAACATTAAGTACAAAAACAGGTTACAGCATCTGTATCTACGCACACACAGGTTACAGCATCTGTACACACACACAACACACACAGGTTACAGCATCTGTACACACACACACAACACAGGTTACAGCATCTGTACACATACACACACAGCATCTGTACACACACACAACACAGGTTACAACATCTGTACACACACAACACAAACAGCATCTGTACACACACAACACAGGTTACAGCATCTGTACACACACACAACACAGGTTACAGCATCTGTACACACACAACACAGGTTACAGCATCTGTACACACAACACAGGTTACAGCATCTGTACACACACAACACAGGTTACAGCATCTGTACACACACACAACACAGGTTACAGCATCTGTACACACAACACAACACAGGTTACAGCCTCTGTACACACACACAACACAGATTACAGCATCTGTACACACACACAACACAGGTTACAGCATCTGTACACACACACACAACACAGGTTACAGCATCTGTACACACAACACAGATTACAGCATCTGTACACACAACA